AGATGGAAATACTGGAAAGACTCCTTTTGAGCTGTTGGATAACCGTAATAGTTTTGTGAGGATTTTAATGAAGTTTATCATTTTGAATGCATAAGTAGGAGTTGTCTCTAAAACTGATGAATCTAGTTACAGTACAAAATGAACTAAACTCTCCAGAGACTATTTCTTTTTGTTTTGCGTGAAAGCAAGGCTTTCCCAAATGCATATAATTTAATAACACTGTGATTGTGTATATCACAATAAGCTATAAGTATGTGGCTGAGAAAAGGCACGTAGGTAGCCTTTGAGTTTACAGGAGTATTTGCTGGGCATCTGTTGCATGCCTTAAATCCCACGTCCACTGAAACCTAATGCTCGTGCATTCTAAAGAGGCCTTAGTATTGTTATCATCCTCATTTTACAGAGAAGAAAACTGAAGAACTGAGAGGCTGAATCTGAAGCTCATAGTTCACGCTTCTAAGAGACTGAGGCAGGGAAGGACACACACTTTCAAACTCCGTGCGTGTGCATGCACACATATACTACACACACACACACACACACACACACACACACACACACACACACACCACTATTTACTGCGTTAATCTCCCCATGAAGGAAATTGTCAGGCATGCTTGTGAACTTTGGTAGTAGGGAGGAAACCAAATAGATAAATAGTGAGAGGACTTATTGTAAGCATTCCTCCACAGTATTAAATTGGCGTTTCCTCACTTGAGTAATACAGGAAACTGTGCACAAGCACTTGTACTCAGCCTTGCATTTATATATATATGGATTCTCTATCTCTGTGTACACTCCAAAGATAACTGTTCATCACAGAAGTTTGTAGCTAGTGGGCAAAAATGATAAAGGGAAGCATTCTTGCCTGGCTTCGGGTCAAAACCCAAGACTCAATTTTAAATATACAATTAAAATACCAACACTGGAGAAGTCAAACGATCTAGAAGTTACTTGCCCTGTAGTGGACACAGGCTGCTGGATTCATTTTTATTTCCCTGGTTTGGGGAGGGGAGGATGGGATGGCTTGAGTGGGGAAGGGTGAAACATCCCTGTAATCCCTCTGGTTCTAGGTTGAGGCTGAGGAGGCTTGAGTTACTTCTTTAGGAACTTTGAGTCAGGGTTGACAGAGGTGACAGAGGGAGGCTGCATGGAGCATCACTGCTACAAAAGAGAGCCTGCCCAGTCTTTCCTGCAGACAGGAACTTCCTGTACTTGTTTTTAACAGGGCTGTTAGGAAAGTTATATCATACTGTTATGAAAGTATACCTCTTTCCCCCCAGAGACCAAGGTAGATTGCAGGCATTCAGAATGAGCTCCTGTATGCAGAGGTGGGGGAGTGGTGGGAGAGCAGAATGCGAGCATGGGCTTTCTGTTCAGTGGTTCTGCAGCCCCACAATGATGTGACATTGCCAGGCTTTACCCCTGCTAAGAGGTGGTAGCTACCATCTGCACCTCTATTTTTATAGGTTAGAGACTGAGACAGCGATTCTCTGCCTGGATTTTATGATGCAGTATACATCAGAACACAGAATGCTCATTCAGTCAAAGATGGCTTATGATGACGGGCCACCAGCATTCTGTCCAGGGTGCCTTCCAGTGTTGTCTGAGAGGCAAGTTCTGCACTACATTTGTTTGCAAAGCTGCGATTCCCACTGTGGTTTAGTGTAAGTTTATGAGAAGGCAGGCCCTGTGCCTGTATCCGGGAAGTGTGGCAAAGGCTCACCCTGTGGGCTGGGCTCATTCTCCTGCACTGTTTGCCGAATGCCTGTTAGCTCCACATGGTGCCCCACCCTAACCAGGAGTGGCATTACCACCCCAAAGTTAATTCTAGGTGCCCCTCCCACAAAGCTGGGCATCTTGGGTTTTGGTGCTTATTTGTAAGCATATGTGAAGACTAGGTTGGTGATCCCGTTTCCTGGACTCTGTGTGACAAAGCTTGGGACCTGTCAACTCTCCTGTTTCCTGCCTAACAGCAGAGGGTCCTCAGAAACTGTGCACTGGGTGCCTTCACTGTGGTGCTCATGTACCTCATAGGAGGGAAAAGCTGGACTCTAGTCAAGAAGTGAGTCTTCTTTTTACATCTAAGCCTCCAAAATAACATGGGGCAAATCCTTTTCCTTTAGAATTTAAGAAGGAACATAAAAATAAACATCCAATTTATTTAAAATTGTTGAATTAAGTATATTTTACTATTTTTTTTAAAAGAAATTAAGTTTCTTTAAGACAAGAAGTTTGCACCAAGGCCAGAACCAGACTTAAGAGCTTGCCTCGGAAGCAGAGAGTTTTCTTTTCTGTCTCTAAGGCACGACCGTTGCTGTCTGAGTCATGTCTATCAAAGAGAAACTGATGCTATTGCTACTGATTGTTACCTGACAGAAAACATTTTCCCTATCTCCTACTGTGGTAGTTTGTAACTGAATGATAAATTCTATAGGAATTCAAAAAAAAAAAGAAGTAACTCAAGGACTTTCCAAATAATTTAAGAAAAGAAACTGTAAACCTAAGAAGGAAAGGCCTTGTAAAATATAAACAAATCGTAGTCTAGCAAGAATGTGGGCTTTTGGGGGAGACAGCATTTGCATTCCCTCCCTCAGCTTTTCCTCATTTGTGTCATTTTATCAAAGCTGCAACTTACAGGTGGCTCTGAGGGAAGGGTCTAACGTGAATGCTGGTAAATGTGGCCCCGCCCTGTGAGAAAGCAGGCCCAGCTAAACACAGTGCAGGGGACCAGCAGCTGTGGGGTTAAGGTTAAAAGCTGGGATGAATTTGCTGATTTCCTTAGCAAACTCACACACCAGGATAGGAGAGTGGAGCCTACGACAAGACAAGATCCCTACAACACAGTTGAAGGCAACTGACGTTACACATCTGGGTATTTGCATATGTACTCTTTTACTGTCCTGGCCTTGGATCCATCTGCCTGAGTTAACTTTCTGAACATTTCTGGGTCTATGCCCTTCAGCAGTCTCCTTTGGATTTTCTTAGGATGGCTTTCTGAGGTTTCTGCCCTGATTTCAGGTTTTCAGCCAAGAACACCACCCTTTCCGTGTGACAAAACCCATGTTACTTTATGTCATGATCCTATCAATGCGTCCCCCCTTCCTGGAAAGTGGCCAGAGCTGGTGCTGAATCACCTGGGCCCTTCGGACTCATCTCCTGCTTAGGGTGGCTCCATGAATTGACCCCATGTGGCACTCTTGGGAGGTTGGCCTCCAAGCACCTTATCTGGGATACTGTGCTTGACACCACACTCTTTATCAACCTTGTCTTGCCATCTGCATAATTTCTCTAGTTCGCCTAAAAATCCACTGTTGCCTCTTTCTTTCCAGTGAACCGGACATCAGAGGCCATGGAAGTTACAACACCCATGGGAAGTCAGCTGATAGCACTGGAAAGCACGGTAGAAGAGCTAGCTAAACAAAACACGTTACCAAATCCGGGACGACTTGAGAGTGAGGAAAGAAATCATAGAAGATTATGTTTGATTACTTAAGGGACATTTTGACAACTCTTCCTCATGCCCTCCATAGAATATTTGGCTAGCATATTTGATGCCTCGGTGGGAATTCACTTCCTTCAAGTTCTGCCTTCTAAGCCCTCATTTTTCCATGCAGGGATCCAACCTACTGAATTTTATTTTCCAGAAATCTGAACACACCACTGTCTTACTAACGATTTGCAGGGGACCCAACTCTTGAGAGTTTAAATGCTGTGTGTGTACTCATCCATAGGAGCCCTCAGGTATCCACCACTGTGAAAGAAATTGCAGGCCACATTTATATGGCTGGAAAATAATTCAAGGAACATTTCAAAGCACTCACTGTTCACCTTCAGTCAAAGCACTTTTGTGTGTTTAGTAATATTCACAGTATTTCACAGGGTCTTTTACCCTGAAATTTGGCTTAATACACAGCCACTTGGCCTAGTTTACACATAAGCCTACTTATACTAAAAGTTTGAGGCTTGCTTTTTGCGATTTCTTTGCCAAATGGGTAGAAAAATCCTTGCAAACGCTTAACAAAGACATTTGTATTTATAGTTATAGTCATTTACCTTTTCATGAATTATTTATTCATTCTTATTGTAACGGACATGCCACACAAAGGTGCTGAAACCGCAGTCCCTGTTAATAAGAAACTTCTTGGAAATCTTTTGTCGGTAGAAGGATCTTTTTCTATCAGACGCGGTGGGCATGAATTTGTCGTAGAGAATGAGTAGGGACTGGGGAGGATCATTATGATGTATGGATGTGAGAAATAAATGTTTGCTTAATCCGTTGCCTTCTGGGAAATGAAAACGAGGACCTGGGTCACCAAAACATTTAAATAAAGACAAAACCACTTTGCAATAGATTTATCCATTTTCCAAAGTGACACCAGCCATCCACTTTTATCTAATTGTCTGCTTCCCCTACCATCCAGATTTGTAGCCTCCAGCTGCAGGCACCGCTGGCTTATTAGACGACGGCTTCTGACTGGAACCTTGGCTTCCTTTTTGGTGAGGAAGTATATAGCCGCTGTCTCCCTTTGAAAAACATACGGCTCCCTCACCAAATATGTGTTAAACACTTTCTCCCGTCTTGAGGGCTAGTGCCAGGAGCAGTTAGAAATAAAGCAAATCTGCTTTCTGGTTAGTTTTGCTTTTTTTTTTTTTTCTTTGACAATCTTACTAGACTGTGAGTATCGTAAGGACAAGAGTTCTGTCTTGTTTTCATAAGTTTCCTAGTGGATCACGCTGCACTCTAATACCGTCCAATGGAAGAAGGAAGTCACAGGTGACTAAATGTGTGTGTAGGACAGCTTGAAAACAGACTGTTGAAAAAGTCAGCTCAGCGAATGCAGGTCGCGCTGCTTCACCTGTGACTGAAGGTCGTCCGGACTGTGGGGACAGTGTGGGTAAACCCACTATTGCAGTCCCGACAAAGTCGGCTTTACCAGAAATGGAAGAGGCCGGGCGCGCTTCTCAGTGACGAGCTAGTTCTAGTAAGGGCCACTCACCTGATCTGAAGCCACGTGAGCATGGGGGTGGTCCCTCCTCCGAACACCCAGACGGTGAAGAACACGAGGAGCAGCGTGGTGGTGAACATCATCTGCTTGGGCTGAGATTCCGTGTTGCGGATGGCCAGGGCAAAGGCAATGGCGCCTCGCAAACCTTGCAGAGGAACCCGGGGGAGGAGGGGAATTAATACCAAGACTAATTCATTCTCCTTTTGCCATATCTATCGTTACAGCTTGCTAAATGTGATTTCTTTATTAACCAAAATTTTTATTCAGAGGCGATTGTAGATTTGCATGGAGTTCTGACAAATAATACACAGAAATACTTTTCTTCAGTCTCTGCCAATGATAACATCTTGCAACGAAACAGTGTGACAGCTTAGCCAGAATATTGATGTCTATCTATACTGTTAAGACACAGAACATATCCTCCGATAAACTAGGAGTCTCACTTGCTGTTCTTTTATAATCTCACTGATGTCTACACACACACATACACACACACACACACACACACACACACACACACACACACACACTCCTTAACTCACTGTCACTAGTACTCTGTTCTCCATTTCTATGTCACTTTACAGTTGTTTTTATGTTTACACTGCATGAAGCGATGGGCCCCGTGGAATCACTTTGTCTCTGTGTCTGTCCATCATAATTCTCCAGACATTAAGTTTGAGGACTTGATCAGGGGTCTCTTTGTCTCCATCCTTGACTCTTAATTCCTGGTCTAGAGCTGTTCCATAGGTTGGTTGTTCAGTTACTCCCTTGTCGAAGGACATCTACATTTTCCCAGTTACTAGAGATTGAATTAAGGCAGTTAAAATTGCCACGTATGTTTTCCTTTCTCTGAGATAATGCTCCAGAACATGATCAGAGGGGTGAAGTCTCTGCATGTTTTATTTTAAGGAAATTATCATTTTTACATTCCAACTAGCAACATAAAAATCGTCTAAATTTTCTGTATCCTTGACATATTTTGTGGCATCACTTTTTTTTTTTTTTTTTTTTTTTTAGTTTAATCCATTGTGATAGGTACGGAATGGTAATTTATTATAGCTTGAATTTTCTTAATGGCTAAGAACATTGGATATTTTTACTTTGTTATCTGTATACTTTGCTACATGAAATAGCTTTGTGTTGTTTTTTTTTCCCACTTTTTAATTGCACCGTTGGAGTTTCCAATTGCTGTGTGTTGAGTTCATTATACATGGTCCATAATAGGCCTTTGTTATATGTGATGTTTTGAAAATATTTTCTTCTACTCTGCAGCTTCTTTTTCTCATCTTTGAGATGTCATAGAACAACCTTTTTAGGTTTGATGAAATCAAACTTACCAATTTCAAGTGAAACGTACTTTTGGAGTCAATTCTAAGAACAAGAACGCTTTACATCAACCTAGTTCCCAAAGATTATCTTCTATAAGTTTTACCTTTAAGCCTGTAATCATCCTGAGGCAGTTTTCTTATCAAGTGAGAGGCTTGTAGGCTTGGGTTGTAGTTATCATTTGCCCTGGTGACATCTACTTTTCTCATCAACTGTTTTTCTTATATATATTTTTAACCGCTGTCTAAAATCAGCTGCCTGGATTGTGTGAGTCTGCCTCTGAGTTCTCCATTTAGTCCATTTATCTGTGTGCATTCTCGTAGCACGCCGTCATGATTGCTCTAAGTACATAGTGGGATTTTACTTTAGGCACAGTCATTTTTTCTGGCTTACTTTTTGTTTTCAAAATCATAGCTTTCTATTTTTCTTGTTTTTCCATAAAACTTTAGATTTATATGTGTTTGTCTACAAAGAAACCTTCTTGAGCACACTTCTGTTTTTTTTCCCCAAATCAAATGTGTCTGATAAGAAGGAAAATCATGGTCACTGAAAATCAATAACCAATTAACCAACACTTAAACCATGCTAGAAGTTGCATACTCTCACAAACTCTGTTACTGAAACTAACTTATTGGAGCCCGCTTTTTTTCTTGTTTTACCTTTTGTTCTATGGTAAAAAAAAAAAAATGCTAATTGTATGTTGTACAGTTATGAGTCTGCAGTAAACACAGGAAATATTACAAGGCGAAAGGCCAGAACTTCAAAGTGTTGATGATACTAATAAAAATAGAAATGCAGACTTTGACGGGGAGTAAATAAAGTGCAAGCAGCAAAAGCAGGAGTCTCCCCGGTGACCTGAGACTTGCTGAGCCCTGTGGTCCTTAACACACTGTGGAGGAGGAAGAGAGTGGTTCATAATGGCAGCAAGCATAAGTTAAAGAGTTAGTGCCTCAGCTATTTTATAGGAAGTTTTAAATCAGATACATATAATTTCAGTGGTCCAGTTTTTATATTTTCTGTAGCGCTATGAGGTCTACTTTGTTGAAAAGATATGTTGTAATTTGGTGGGTTTCTATTTACCTGTTCTAGCTCCCACATAAATAACACTGAGACTTAACTAGATTTATTAATAAGCTGAGACTCTGTAACTGGGGAGAAATGATTTGTCCTAACTTGCTATGCTAGTCTGGTTACTTCCCAGCAACAGGCCCCATCTTACTTGACATATTTGTCTGTTCTGGGTTGCTTCTGCTCCATCAAGTCAGGCCTCATGGCTGCATCCTTTCTCTACCTCTCCTTTCTTCGATCTCTTCTTCTTTACCTCGTGTTCCCTACCTAAGATCCCAAGACTTGCAACGGAAGTCCTGCCTTCCTATTTCCTCTGCCCAGTAATTGGCTGCTCGGCTTCTTTATTAACCAAGCAGAGATAATTAGGGAACAATGTTTACATAACATACATCAATGAACATAAGAATGGCCACAATCAGACTTTAGGGCACAGAAATCAGCATCTGAATACACACCTCACCAGACCAACGTACAATACTCTGTTACTTCTTCAGGGGAAATATGAACAAATGTCTTTTTTCACTCCAGAAAGGGTATCGCCAATAGACCGGGGGAAAAATTCCATCGACACCAGCTTGGTGAACCAATGAGTTTAAGCTTGGTGAACCAATGGGTTTAACTGGGATTACTTCCAGAAACCTGGGTTTCAACAGCTATATTATTGAAAAGGGGGCACGTGGATGGATTTCCTCCTCAGCCAACCTTATATCTCCTGTGTTCTCTAGCGCTCCAGAGATATGCGATTGAAGTAGGACTATTTGCAGCTACACGTGTAGAAGTAGCCGGCATGTCAGGGGAGTGTCTAATGACCCTCCCCGTCTTAATCTTTCTATGAGATAATGTTAACAAGCCTGATCGAATGAGGGTTTCACAGAAGCAGTCACAGGTTCTGTGGCATCAAGACTGCCATGGCTGTGGTTGTGCCAGAGGACAAACAGCATGTTATAACTTGGGATTCCAAATTGTTATCATACTTTCAAATGATTGAGAACAAAACACACAAACACAAGCCAGATGCTGGATAGGATGAAGAACATCATAGCCAGACCATGCTCCAGAACTTAGGTTCTGCTGCTTCTTTTTGTTCTGTCCGTGTTGAGAATGTACAAGAGACAAGCAGTATGACAGGAGAGACAGAGGATCGGGCCGGGGAGATGGAACACATTTTGCCTGAAACAAAAAGGCCTCTGAAAGAGAAAGGAACATGTACTCTGATTATAAAATACCTCCAAGGAATAGTGTAATGGAGGAAGGAAATTATTCAGAATCTCCATGTAGACAAGGAAATGGCCTGAAGAGAGGGAGGATAACATTTGAAGTACACATTAATAAAAACATTCCTTTATATCAGAATTTCTGGACGCTAGAATGGCTGTGCTCAGCACCGCCCTCCCACCCCCGCCCCCGAGGTGTTCAAGCTAGCACAACTCAGCTGTGCACAAGGTGGTGAGGGCAGCAAGAAGCCCTAATGCTGGGACAATTTGAATAATGCTCTCTCCAGGATACACAAACATTAGTCATTAGTGAGTAGGAATGCAAGGAAACAGACTCCCATTATCCGAGGGCAGGATTTATAGGTCAAGGTTGTTTGATCGCAGTGCAGTCCTGGAGAGAAGCAGTTATCATTCCATTTTTCTCTTCCCCCTCAAGCTTGCTAGGGATGTCAGTTAAACAGCATTTCGCACATGAGGGGACAGTAGAAGTTTGAAATATTAAACCACGATTAATATTTGCTATTTGTTTTCCACTATATATATTTGTAGCTCTTTCACTTTTGAGCTTTTATAAGGAATGGTAGAAAATAGAATACAAATTTTAAAATTCTGTATCTTGCTTATTGCAAGCTCATCTGTCTTAGATACCAAGGGCAAGGTAAGCAGTTAGTAACCTGCTTAAACATGTTTAATCAAGTATGGTTATTATGCCAAACTGGCATCGCTGTGTTCTTAACCAAATTATATGAAAGCAGTCCTTAACTTAAACATGTACTCAAAACAGTGGCAGGTTTGGTGGTAAACATGTATAACCCCAGTACTCAGGAGGCTACAGCGGAAGGACATCAAATTGGAAGCCAGTATGGGTTGCAACAGTAAGACCCTGTCTCAAGAAATGAAATAAGACAAAACAAAACCCCTCCTGATCCCTCAATGCTTTTTAAATACACGCATATGGAAACATATCTGTTAATCTTCATATTGGTCTATATGAAACTTTAATATGGGAAATCATATTAAAATCCATATTCATATTTAAGGCAATGTAGAGATTTCTTGGGGGTGGGGAGCCAGAAAAGCATAGCCATGACCTTGTGGCAGGTTGGGAAATGTTTATTATGTCCAATCTCAAGACATCGTGAGGGGATGACTCTGAGTGGATGGGCACCAAGTACCAAGGGAACTTCAGAGGTGAGGGGTCTTTGGAGAAAAGACTTTCCATGCCTTGCCCTGGTCATATCATTCCACGTGACCCTTGCCACAGGTGAGATGGTTTGGCAACAGCAAGAGCAATTATTGAGGATGCTGAGCTTGCTGATTGGACAAAGTGAAGCTGACTCCGAGCTCCAGAAGATGAAGTGCTGTCCTGTCCTGTTTGTTCCTCATGACTCTAAAAGTTCTTCCTCACACATCTAGAGCCTGGGAAAATGTCAAATCAATGGCCATTCATTGCTTTGATTAATGCCTATATATCAATTGTCCCATATATGGAGTTCTACGCCTGCTGATCCTATCTTTTTAACACCATGGATTTAGG